ACCATTCACAAAATTAATTGCATGAGGTTCTTTATACTTTCAATGGGAAATGTTATTTTATGAGAACTTTTAGCTAGGACTAGTAAAACTTTCATGTAGTTCATATTTCTAAATAATTTACCATTTAACTTCTTTCAGACATATTCTCTAGAAATCAGCTGTCAGATTTGCTTCTCAGCTGCAGCTCATTTATGTGATTTCTGTATCTGATAGTTCTTYGAGCAGATGTACCAGTAATTCTCTGAAAGCATCTGTCCTTCCCCTGTGTCATTCCGATACCACTAGGATCAAGAATTATTCATTGTGACTAGCTGGGAGGAACAAGTACAGGTTATCCAGACTGTCTCTGCACAAAGCAAATATTTGTTAGTGTTTTTTTTTCTCCAAAGAATATAATTATTTAAAGCAATCTTGTTGTCTCCCTAGTCCCTTGGGTTTTCTTGTGAGTTGCCTTTTGACTCTGTGTTTGCATATCATTTTTATTGATTTAGAAGGAACATCTTAAAGTTTTCTTCCTGTTGTGCCCTGCCCTGGGRATAGTGCAGCTCTTGTGCATGAGGAGAATTTACAGAGCATCCTTGGGTTGGTTCTTGGTCATTCGCTCCTTGCCCATAGCGCACACGCCAAGTTTTCTATCAGTAGATGTGCTTGCTCTTTCCTGTTGGAGACTTTTTCTATTATGGTAGTAATAGTTTCCACCCTGTTCTTCTGCATGCCCACACATGAGCAAATGTATTTATTTATTTTTCAGCATGTTCAGTGGGGTAGAGCTGTGCGCTTCTTGGCRCCTGACTTCATTTTTCTTCCTCGCTTGTATGCTCTGTGCAGCGTGGCTTTAATCCATCATTTTCAACATTGGTGCTGTGGTGGCTCTGGGCATTTAGTTTACCTGTTTTTCTGGGGGGAGGGAAGGAGAGGTTTTTTGTTGTTTTTGTGTGTGTGTGTATGTTTGTTTTTTTTTTAATAAACTATTACTACTTTTCTATAAACTACTGCACTTTGTCACTGCCAAASGCATAGGTGCAGGGAACAAAGGGTAGGAAATAAGAGTCCTTCTCTCCTTGCATGTAGAGAGGCCGGATTCCTGAAGTGCTCGAGGCAGGACGTGGTGCCATCGCTTCTAAGGAGCATCAAGGATTGGAACCAGCCTTGATGGCTCCGTTCCCTTCCTTTTATATTCCCTTCTGTTTGGAGGATGCATGTTGCAAGCCTCACATTCGTCTCATTTAGAACATTTCCAGTGCCCATCACTCTGCRTTCTCTGCACCCTAGCCCTTCTATATCAGGGATTGAATCTACACCTTATGCCCCTGTCATGAATAAGCTCTCTCTCTTCATATTCTTGGGAGCACATGCTTCAAAAGATCTTTGAGCTCTGTGTGTCGGGGGTTGTTCAGGCCCTGCTGGAAGGGGCAGCTGCCCATGGCCGGGTCCAGAACAGCAGCCCCTCACTGCCAGCCCCCAGCACGGGCCATGTGTTCCCAGCCATGGTCCCACCTTGATCCTCGGGCCCCGTACACTCGCAGAGGCGCCTGCCACCCACGCAGAGCTTGGCTGGCAGTCCCAAATTGCTGTTAGAGCTTCCTACGTGCACCCAGGCAATTACATGCTCTCTGTCTGTGAGTATGTGTGGGGACTTGTCATTCAGTGGTAGAGAAAAGGGCATCTACAAGTTCATAAATTAACCTGCTTTGAAATGGCTGGTCCATAGCTATTTACAGTTCTTATTCTTTYTGCCTTTCTAAGTGTACCCTCCCTATATTAGGTTATATCTATATTCTTTGCAATAAGCTGTGTTAGCTCATTGACTTCATTAAAAACTTATCTGAAGAAATAAGTTTGTGTGCGCTTTAGACAGCAGAATGGGACATAATGGGAATATGTAGTGTAGGAAGAGGCAGGATTGTCCCCTTTGGGAGCAGYGTGTTCTTAGATTGGCTAAGCCAGTTCCCAAGTTGGGCAGCACAGGTATTGCCTGATGCTTTCTTTGAATGTTTTACATTGAGGCTGCCCAGCTGGAAGGCCTTCTGCCTTGGGTGAAGTGAGTGGCCAGAGTCCATGAAACTTTCACACTGGTAGCCTTGCTTTGCAGGTCAAGCGAGTGAAGCCTTCAGCAGCCAAGCAGGAACTTCCGAGAATTATCCAGGGGTGAGGGAGAACATGGCAAAGCCTTCAAGTAACCTCTTCACTTAATGAACAAACAGGCAAACTCTCTGGAAGCTGCAGAAATTGCAGTGATCCAGTCCATCTCCTCACCCACAAATTTTCCTTCCTATGTGCAGCCGCATATGTTTGATTTATTTTTGATTGGCATAACAATGCAAGAGCCAAAGGAATTAAAAGTAAAGCTATGCTGGGAACTTTRGCGTTTCATCACGTGCCAGAAATCCAAAGTACTTTTTCAAGTTGTTTGAGAGAATATTCTATCATCAGCGGTAATAATAATTTCTGAGTAATTAAATTAAACTATCTCTGTGCATCTAAATAAACAAATAGATTGTGGTTCTGTAGAATGCACACGTGTGCCAAGTTGTAGACTTGGATAGTTGTTGAAATCGTGCTGCTTTTGGTGGTAGAAGCCTTCTGCTCCATTTAGTATCAACTCCTGGTATCCAGGGCAATTTTAAGGCAGGAGAATTTGGTGCATTGGCATTTTTTTTTCCTCTGATGTTTTCATAAAAATGGCTTTTAGAAACCCTGCTTTTTAAGTGTTTCACAGTTGTGTGTTTTGAAGAAATATGTTATCAGGCCATCGATCTGTTTTACAGTCATTTCTTCAAGGTGCTTCATCAACTTGACCAGAACATATGGTGCAGACCAGGAAGAATTGTCMTGAAATTCTATACAGACGAAATCCATAGCTCAGAAGTGAGGAACAGCCTCACTATTGAACTGTRTCTCTCTGTGTATTTTAAATTGTTGAGAACTGTGTTTCAGAATCAAAGTTGGATTTTTTTAACTTATTTTTTAAAGTGAATGAAGATCTGAACCATATAGAGAGGGGAGAGGTAAATGTCTTTTGAAGGCTGAGAGTTGTCATGCTTGGGAGAATGTGTTTCCACACGCCAGCTGACTTGGGTTGACAGAGGGCCACAGAATCCCAGAATGGCTGAGGTTGGAAGGGACCTCTAGAGATCATCTAGTCCAACCCCCTGCTCCAGCAGGGACACCCAGAGCACGGGGCACAGGGCGGCATCCAGGYGGGTTTGGAGACCTCCAGAGAAGGAGACTCCACAGCCTCCCTGGGCAGCCTGTGCCAGGGCTCTGKCAYCCTCACAGGGAAGAAGTTCTTCCTCWCRTGGAGATGGAACTGCCTGGGTTTCAACTGCAGCTGGTCAGGCAAAGTAGACCTGAACTGACGTAGCGAGTATTTGGAGTATTTTGGAGCATTTTTCGGTGCTGCAGCCTTCTCTAAGGAGGTGACAGTGATGAAAATTAATAGTGRTAGTGTCTATTGCTCTTCATCATTGGATCTCAAAGAACTTGGTAGGAGGGTTAAATTCTCTTGCCGCAGCCTCACAGATCTGAACGAACTGAGGCCGAGCTGTACTCGCTTGGACAGGCTCATACCCAGCAGATGGGGGACTTGGGATGGGACTTTCATCCTGTTGGAAAATACCAGGTCATGGGAAAGAGAGTGCTCTGCAGAAGCCTGCTGCATGCTTGGTTGAAATAAAAGTGGTTTCAGGAACACTTCAGTTTGGTGTTTCAAAATGACTCTATTTCAGTTTTCTAATAAAATGTAATAGGGGCTGGAAAATACAGAATAGAGACAAAATATTTTCCTTCTTTGTGGAATTGTTTTTTATTTAATAAACCTGAAAAGTTTTTAGGCCTCAGCTTTTTTGATTTGTGTTTCTTGAGCATAGAATTGGGGGCGTTTTTGGTTTTGTTTTGTTTTGGAGTTTCTCATAAACTGAAACTAAAATATTTTGATTTTCCAAAGGAAATGCATTTACAGTTATGAAATGGGCCTTAAAAATAAACAAACAATCAGCCAGCTCAGCTTTGCTGTTAAGTTCCAGGACGACGTCCACAGTTGTTCCCCTGCTTTTTCTTTGCTATGGGAAGTCAGTAATTTATATCAGCTGTTGTTCTTGGAATATTCTGKTTTTCCCAACACAAATAATCAATTGGACTCGGTAGACTGGAGGCTCTGCTGTCCCTGTTCTTAGGTGCCCTGCCTGTCCCTGCTGACAAACTTTTTTGGTGGGTGGAAATGGTCACTGTGCTCTGTGACTCTGCGCAGGACCCAGACTGCAAACGCAGCTCGGAGCAGTTTTGCTTCAGGGCAAAGTTCTCCGTATTCAGCACGGAAAGAMGGGCCTAGAATCAGTTTGTGGGAATGTGGGCAGATGTTAACATTGCTTTAAAATAAAAAAGCTTTCTAGGTCCTGAATGCAATGTGCAGTTTTTGAATAGTCACCTAGTGATGACATGACTGATTAGTTTTGCAGTAATTAAGAGAGTGTATCTACCTTTTTCCTCTTTCTCTGCATTTTAAATGTGAATGCTCAGAWTTTAGATTCTTTGTACCGTTAGCTACAGGTGCTTTGACTTGGTCCCTCATACCTGTTGTTTTGGGGAAGGCTGGGGGAGGACAGACCTTACGCCTTCACCTTAAATATGGCGCTTTTTCTCTCATTTTATGTAAATTTAGTTGGTGCAATATCTCACTAAAGAACAAGGTGAATGAGTTGGGAGATGAAGAAATTCAARCATGAAGGGAGAAATGCTGCTTTTTAAATAATTTTGTGATTTCRTAAGTATTGGGGGGGCAGGCAGATGCACTCTTCTACAGTTCATTGTATCTAAAAGAAGAAAAAAAGTTRCAAGCTGAAATCTTTAATGTAGGTGTAGTGGTGCATTCTACTTAAATGTTTTTTGACTTGTCAGACAGATTTGAAGGGGCAGAGCTGAGAGCTGCACATCAGCAGCGTGTCAGAATTTCTTTTCCTTCACCGACATTTTACGCTATTTTCTCATTTTTAAACCTGTAGATAAATCTGGCGTCCTGATCGTGAAGATCTTGGAAGTGTTTGAGGAGTGTACGATGCAAGTCGCGGTCTGCGAGCAGCTGCAGGAGTCCCYGGCTGCCACTGCCTCCCAAGAGCTTGTCACCAGCCCGGCAGACCCGCTGCTCACAGTCCTCTTCACGAGGGAGACAGCAGCGCACCTGAGGAGCGGGCCGCAGGACGTCGTGCACATCTACCCTCCGTGGTGAGTGCAGAAACCACTCACCTTGCTGCAGAGCAGGGGCCTTTTCTGCGGGCCTGCTTGTTGTGCTGCTGCAGAAGAGACCCAGAGGGGAAACGAAAAGCAGGGCTGTCTGTGCTCATCTGTCTTTGGGAGGCTGTGACAGGTATCTTGGCGATGATTTGGATAACAACGGAGAGCGGATGCCTCTAGTGCAGCCCAGGGCCTGAGTCTTGTTTTCACTCGATATTTTTATGTTTGGGGCGATAGAATGGCATGAGCGCCGTCTTATCGATGAGGAGGCCAATAAAGCACATGCTTTCTGCTAGSAAATAGTTCAGGAATGCTCATCTGCTCTCTCTGCTTTGGGCCTAGTGTTTCAGAAGAAAAGTCTGTATTTGCTGTATAGAACTCAACAAAGATAATGTGCAAAGATAATGTCCTTAAAAACAAGGCAAAAAGAGAAGCGAGATCTGCACTGCTCTTCAAGGAAAATTAGTAAAGACCTTTCGTATGGTTTCCTCATTGCTGCTGCTGTCCTGTCCTCACTTCCCCCAATTTCCGTGCACCGCCTCGAGCCTTCTCKGCCATCATTCAAAGAGTTTGGGCTGGGTTTGCCATTTGTCTGGATTGGGTTCCTTGCTGGCTTTAAGCAGGAGCACGAAGTCTTCAGAGCCCTGGCACARGCTGCCCAGGGAGGCTGTGGAGCCTCCTTCTTTGGAGGTCTTCAAAACCCGCCTGGATGCCGCCCTGTGCCCCGTGCTCTGGGTGTCCCTGCTGGAGGAGGGGGTTGGACCAGATGATCTCCAGAGGTCCCTTCCAACCTCAGCCGTTCGGTGACTCGGTGACTCTGTGTTGAGATTTCTGCTGAAGCGGCTGACAGTTGTGTGGCTGTGGAGGGGAAGGTTTGGTCGTTATAAAAAACTCAGGAAGCCCTTGAAGCAGGACTGTTATGCTCCTCTCTTCCCCACCCAAATGGGAAGACACAGGATTGTCTTGTAATATTTTTCAGCACTGCATTCTCTGAGTTCTGCCCCGTACCTGCAGTAGGAAACTGCCTTTATGTTTTCTTACTATATCCTTTTGCAAAATACATTCTCTTATTCTGCAAGGTCTGTATGTACTTTTTATCTTAATTAAGAGCTGCGAGTCTGTTCTGTGATCTGTAATTTGTAATCTCTCCCTTTTAGAACGATATTTAACTGTTTTTGGAGGTGATTCAAAAATTAGGGGAAGATACTTAATCCGTGGTTTATTGTGGCTACAGATGCAACTCGCGATAATTCTAATGTAAATACCCCAGTAGCTGAGCGAAATGCTGCTGCATGTTCATGAAGGCTGATACGAAATAAGCCGCTTATTTTTTTTTTTCTTTTCTTCCTCCGGCTGCTTGTCTTTGTTCTCGTGTTTCTTTTCTCTTTCCACGCTTTATATTTGATATTTTGTTTCTATTTTCCTTTTGCTTCTCCTTCCTGTTGCCTTCCACCCCAGTTCAAGTTTCCCCTGCCCTTTTGAGACCCCCTTTGCTTTATAGCTCTCCCTTTCCTGCATGGGCCTTGGCTTGCACTGGGAYTTCTGTACAAGGAAAACTGCTTTGGTCTGTGTACGAGTTACATTTTTAATTTATTTCTTTAATTGAACAATGTGCATAGCACATGGAAGTGCTTGGGCTGCTTGAGATTATCCCGTGTTTGCTCRTGGAAGGTGCGTGTCTGCACTGATGCAGTAGTGTTGATGGTGCCACTCTACTCTCTGCAGTTGCTTAAAAAGTTGTAAAGTTAGTTGGTCACAAACATTACATATATTTTTATGTCTATGTGCATATACATGGAAATGTTTCAAGAAATCTTCATAGCTGGAAGTTCTCATTTTAGTAACTTTAGTAAGTTTTTTTCATGTGAGCAAAGGTTTGTTTCCCAGAACCAGAGCGCGGCTGTGTGGGACACGTGCGAGCTGTCTGTGCGGCTCCCCTCATCTGGCTGCTTTATGAAGACATCAATGAATAATTGCAACATTTTATTATGTCTCATCTCATCTCCTATTTTTTATCGTTTTGGAATTATCTTGGTACTGATTGTCTGTTTGCTTACCTGACCAAAAGTAAAATGAAGTTGGACTGGATATTCTAAACTAAATTTGTTTTTTTGTTGTTTTTGGTTGGTTGGCTTTTCTGTTATTTGTTGTTGTTGTCTTTAGATCAACATTTGGCACTTTAATTTTCACTAATAAGAAATTTGACTTAAAAGGTTAGTGGAGGTTTCCTCTATTGAACTTCCAAAGTTCAATTCTATTAAATGTTTACTCAAGAGCCCTGAATTGCTGAAATGTGACTTCTGTTAGTCCATATTGAATATGCACTTCTGTCTTTAAAAGTAAATACTGTTTATAATAGAATCCTTTCCTGCCAAGTTAAACATGTGATTACTTTAAAAATGAATGAACCAAATCTAACCTGAACATAGGATGACCATAATCATTTGAGCTGTTATAAGATTAATTTGGTGGTATCTTGTAATGAACAATATTGTACTACATCTCATTAATTGGGAAAAATAATGGAAAGAGGTATTTTTCAAGCATAGACAATCCTTATGGCCAGTAAAGGAAGTCTCTGAAACTCTACTAGAATAACTGCTCCAATTGTGCCAGTCACCTGTACAGGGCTACAGTAAGGAGAAAGCCAATGTTTTCTCACTCAGGCAATTTTATGGACACAGGCCCAAGGACATTTGTGCCTTTGGTTTTGTTTGTTGCTTTTTTAAGGCTGAGTTGTCATGATAAAGGAAAGCTGAGGCTTGTAGGGGAAGTGGATGATTTCTTAGTAACGGCCCCTCCCCTGCCCACTTTCAGCTAGTGAASTAGCCACTTCAGCTAGTGACTGTAGGTCAAAGAAGTGTCTGCAACCATCAAAAGGTATTTGGATAGTGATTCTGGTAAAGTAAGTCCTTTTGCATATCTTATTTATACCATCAATCGTAAATAGAGATGCAAAAACAAGCAAGTGCAGGAGAGGCTGTTGTCATGAATAAGCAAGATACCCAAATCAGCAGTCGGCGTGTCTGCTGTGTGACACATTGCTGAGCAAAGCTCGAGTGCGTTGTTTCGGAGCCTTTCTGTAGCAAAAAGCCTCTTTGGGAGCCCTTGGGCTCCGCTCTGGAAGGGGCATTTGTGTGTGCTGTGAACTCGGGCCATAACCTCGTACGCCAAATGGSAGAGTACTTGCCAGCTGCTCTGGGAAGCAGTGTTTGGAAATGTGGTCATGTGCTTTACATACAGAATCTCATGGTACTTCAACATTTGAACCCAGGGATACTTCAGTTAATCCTTCCCCTCCTCAATAAAACAAAACAAAATAAAATCAATAAAGGTGGCAGGAAGCCAGTTATAAGCAGCTTAGCAGTATGGCARTTCCCCATGGGACTGGTCCCACTGACTTCTGAGGAGTTTGGGTGCTTGAATAAGAATGTGCAGGACTGAACCTTCTACCTGGGGATGTTCCTCATCAGATCAGTGTTTAGTGTCTAGGATATGTACTTCATGAAGAGATTTCAAATGAGAGGATTTCATTTCCCTTGGCTATAGGGAAAACGTCTTGGATAGGCCGGCCAGGACCTTCATCCCGCAAGGCCCCAGCTGCCCGTCCTCAGGGCTCTGCGCCGCAAGGCAGAGATACCCGGCAGTGCTGCTGCCCAGGCACCTCAGGGCGCCCACCTAAGGGCTTGAAATAAACACCTCGTCCTTCACACACACTGCCTCTGGATCCTGAAGTGTTTTCAAGCACGGGACAAGAAAAAGCTTGTTCCAAGCTGGAATAAAATCGATCRCTAACTCCAAAGTGTACCATCACTTTGTACAAATATGTATCCACACATGAAGACTCTGCGATACTTCAAAGACTGTGACAGAAGCAGAGCAAAAGCCTTCATGTTCCACTGGGGGCCRTTCTGTGGTCCCTGTTGTGGTTTCAACTTGCCTGCTGTTTTGTTGCTTTGACTGCAGAAGCGGTGACAGGTAATTTACTGAACCTACCAGAGGGTGATAAGAGTTGGCATTTTGAGGACTTCAGGRTTCATTTAACAGCCAACAGTAGGGCTGGAAAATGGTGGAGACAGGAATTATTTTCCCTTGCCATTAAACTCAGCATTTTTCAAGTATCTATGAGTATTTCTTCAGTTAAAGTTGTTGATATTCATATAGTTATTGGCAATAGCCACACAAGSTGCACATCACCATTTGGGAGTTATTTGGACAAGCTCGTAGGTCCATGCACAGCTCTTAAACATGAAGGGCTGGTAGGAAGTTGCCAGGCTTCTCACAGCTAAAGGACCAGGACAGCATGCAGAGAGAAAACCCTTTGATGYTCTTCTACTCCTCCATTGCCTCCAGACATAGAGGCTGTAGAGCTTGGCAGCAGAAAGAATCCCTGGCTGGGTAGCTCCTGTTAGTGTCACTTCTCTGTGTAGCAAATGTGAGTTTTAGGAAGGCAGAGCAGTCTGTACATAGATCACTTCTAGCTCCGTGACACCAGCAAGTGCTCAGAAAGCTCTGCTTTGGTTTCCCTCACCTGCGAAGCAGGGGATTCTCCTGGCTCGGCCTTGGGAGCTTTGCAGCGCCCCCAGCAAGTGTTGCATGTGGCCTTTTCAATCTACGCAAGTCTTGCACCACATTCAGCCTTTGCTCAATAAAAGAAGTTTAAATGAACTCAAGCTATTGTACATTTGCTGCCAAGTAAATGCACGCAAACAAAACATTACTACAGAGAGCCGATGCGCAGTAATAAAACCTTGTGCCTTAAGTCCATTAAAGTGGACCTTTTTGGTGGAGCAATATCCAAGCAAGCTCTAAACAAGCCAGTTTATGGGAAGCAATCAAGCTTTGTGAACTGATGTACTCTGCTCATTTGGAATTATCTTGGACAGGCCTCAGGCTGTTTTGTTGGCTCATCAACAGGACTTAGGATAAACGTGTTGCTGTGAGCTTTGCATTGCACCATGGCTTTCCATAATCTGGGGAGCAGCAAGAGC